GTTCTCCCAGGAAGGAAATTAAAGGCATATACATCTAAGAGGTAATTACATCTTTACTGTGCGTGTGACAGTGTATGTGTGTGTGTCTATATGAGTCAGTATCTGTGTGTCTAAGTGTATCTGTGTGTGACAGTGTGTGTGTGTGTGTCTATATGAGTCAGTATCTGTGTGTCTAAGTGTCTCTGTGTGTGACAAAGTGTGTGTGAGAGAGTGTCTGTGAGTGTGAGAGAGTCTCTGTGTGTTTTTATACATGAGAATATGTGTAAGTGTGATTGTGTGTGTGTGTGTGTGTGTGTGTGTGTGTGTGTGTGTGTGTGTGTAAAACCTGGTCCCCACAACTTGTGGATTCTGACCATCACCAGTTGGGGAACTTAGACCCTGATAACTAAAGTAATTTCAGGACTCAAGGGAGCATGTACCCTAATTCCCAGGAAACTCTGGGTCTTTATTCTCATCAGCCAGTGCAGCTCTGGAATTAGCAGCACACACTCCCGCCGGCTCCCGCCTCCCTACCCTGGCTCTCACCAAATGCAGACCCTAAGATTAGGTCAAACTTGATCCCTAAGAAAGAAGCGAACTTGTCCCTGCACAGTGTCCCTCAGAGTGTAAGTCAACTTGTTAGAGAGAGTGACCAATCACTGGTAATTTAAGGTTTAATATCAAAATAAATAATAATAGTAACTGTAAATATTTACCATCCTCCTCCTAGATCTGTCTTGTAAAAGGTAAAAAGTGATCAGATGTGCTCCATGTCCAACCTTCTCTTCAAGGCTGTCCTAACAAGGCTTCCAGGGGTGGGAGAAAGGGGGTGGGGGTGGAGGGTGGAGGAGTGCTCAACAACCGAACTTGGACTCGAGCCAATGACGATACAGGAGATAAAGGAACAGCCATTATTTTACACCCTACCCCTGGGTCAACCAGGCCCCAAGGGATGATGGGACAGTTCTCCAAGGGTCCTGACAGCTCTCAAGTCACCTGTCCTCTGGACTAGAGGAGCCCTGAAGAGGCAGAGGTTGGACCTAACTACTGTACATTCTGCAGAGGAGGGTCAACACAGAGAGAGAGGCCCTCAGGATGCCAAGGGAAACAACATGCTCAGCAAGCCCCCGACTTACCCCACAGATGGCAAAACTGGCAGGGAAAGACAAGAGACCCAAGGGGCTCCCATAAGACCCGGGAGTCACCCTGAGGAATGCCAATAGACCTTAACAATAAAAAGAAAATTGAATACATCTTCGGGTGCCTACATGGTCTTAAGTACCCAGCAGGAAAGAACGGCCAAAGAGTCAAATGACTAAAAAAATACAAAATAAAAGGTGAGTAGACGTTAAAGGGGTGAATCAGGTCTTCAGGCCTCCCGAGGGCCGCTGACGCACCAGGGAGAGCACTCGGAGCAAAGGCCTCTCATGCTTTTCCTAACCGTAAACGAAACGCTGTTTGTGTATCCTGATAATTCTGATAAATGATTCATCTGCTTTACACAATCTACTAAATCAGATCAGGCCATGCAGACGATGTCCAGATTTCCGTGGCGGGAATGAGTTATGTCTGCCATAACCTTAGTACTGGCCTGTTCCTCTCAGAAGCCACACTACTGTACCTCCTGTCGTTTACAGTGGACCCAGTCTCTGACAGACTTTCTTCTACCTAGGTCCCCCAGATTACCTTCCCAGGGCCTAAAAGTCAGCAAGAGTGAAGACGCTAAACCGTCCTGTGCCTCCGTTTCAGATGGACGTACCCAGATCCACCAGCAGCCATCCCCTAGATGTTGGGTACCTTGACAGTCCATTAACAAGCACGGAAGCCATTGAAGGTGGCCTCTCCCATAGATGGGGCTTTATCAGGACTTTGCTGAGATCCAAAGGAGAAGCTCCTTTCTCTGGGTCAATGGAATCTGAGTCCTATCTATGACCTTGGGAGACATGGCTTATTTTTTTTCTTTGAGACAGGGCTTCTCTGTGTAGCCCTGGCTGTCCTGGAACTCACACTGTAGACCAGGATGGCCTCAAACTCAGAGATCTGCTGCCTCTGCGCCCTGCACCACCACATCCAGCTACATTCTAATCATTCCCAAAGATAATATTACACACTATTGTCCTCTCCCTTAAAATTAATCCAACTGGGCCTGTCAATCACTTGGCCAGGACACCCACCTAAATTAAAGTTGACACACCTGAATATATATTAAGGCCATAGAAGGGAGCAATTATCCCCTTAACGAGATCGTATACTCCCCAGGAAGACCACTCCTTGTGAAGTTACTTACACATCTTCACTACTAACCCACTTTCTGAGTTCTCATTCAAAAAGCATAACTTTTCCTTTCATCTCCTTTGGTCTCTTCTTTGGACACCAGTGAGTGTGGGGGTGGTTGTCTGTGCTTCACCCCTGAATCACCGCCCCAGCAGGCAGCAGGTAACTGCTAGGTACCTGCCCCCCCAGGTGTGGCTGGAGGGGGACCCCTTAAGACCTGGAATGCATATGTGCTCACTCGCTTGGCTACCTTGTGGTCTTGGATGTTAGAGCTGCAGAGAAAGGCAGAGTTCTCCAGAGAACCGTGTTGGACTGCGCCCACCCCTCCTGGAGCCAGTGACCAACTCCCTATGTTATTGTGAGTTAACCCAGTACCTTTTACTATCAGACAGACTCCGTGGAATTACCTCATTTCACCAGCTGAAATCCTGAGCATGGCTGCCCTGATCTCTGGGATTCTGTTTCTCCAAAGATGAGAAGGTCACACACGTAGGCAGGCACACACACACACACACACACACACACACACACACACACACACACACACGCACGAATTCTAAAAGCTTCCAGACTTCCCTGAGCCTGCCCTTGGACCACAACTCAAAAAACTTCTCCCAGTCTCGGCCAAGATTTTCTTCAAATTCTAATAAAATGGCCCTGAGACTTAAAATACAAAATGGAAAACCAATCAGCATGGATGTGTGTGAGGTGAGGCGCAGTAGGGCACACCTGTGGTTCCAACACCCAGGAAGCTGAGACAGGGGGTGGGGGGTGGGGGGTGGGGGTGGGGAGATGGTTATGGAGAGAGCTCAAGCTACAAAGTAAGACCCTCTTTCAAAACAAACGACAGATCAAAGGGGCTAGAGGATATTGTTCAGAGGTGAATAATTGCAGGGTCTTGGGGTATAGCTCAGTGGGTAACAACACCCCAGACTGGGTGTGGAAAGTCCTAGGTTCAAATGTCCTCATCAACTACTTCGCCCCCACCTCAAACACACAGCTCAAGACTGCTGTCCAGTCTCTCCTCCTAGATTAAAACATTCCACCCTGCAGGAAAGTTCCTTAGGCAGGGAAGTAAATGACAACAAAAAGTAGCTTCACAGCTCCCTGAAACTGACCAATTCACTAGGCCCCTCCCCACCAGAGTAAGCAATAGAAGCTGAGAGACCCTCTCGGCCAAGGAAGTTGGGCTGCAAAGAAGACTGAGACCAGAGCAGCTGTCTAGGAATAGCAGAAACCAGCTGAGCTGCCGGGAAGGGGTGTAGACGAGTCACTCAGGAAGGACACTCTCCAACCTGCTGAGCTGCCTGCAGGCTGTGCAGTGTGCTCCAGGTCCCCAGCTTTGTGAGCTGTCACCTGTGCGCAGGTGGGCATTGGTGATGCAGCTGTCTGTGAGTCATTCCTGATCCTGTAAGGGACCCCTCACCCACATTCCTGTAAGTGACTACAATCAAACTCATTGGTTCACCAAGCTGGACTTTGGTGGTATCCGACTTTGGTGGTTTGTCACATATGAGTGACATGTGTTGCGTCTCTCCAAGAAAAGTTTTGTCACACAAGACCTCAGCCACTCCACCAAAAATGACCAGCCTGGGCCAAGGACTGTCCCTCCAAAAGCCTTCCAACTCATTGAACCAAAAATGTTTATGACTTGTGGATTGTGTGTGTAAATTACAGTGTAATTAAAAATTAGAAAATAAAATTTAAGTATCTAAAAATAAGCAGAAAGCACAGAGCAGAAAGCATATTCACTTCAAATGAAATAATACTTACACTTGACTGTACCTGTTTAAATGCTCAGCCCCCACCCAAGGCACCCTCCCTCCCACTCTCTCCCAGCCCCTCCCCCATAGCCACAGCATCTGTCCTTTAGCCATTTCCTAGCCATGGTGGGCAATCCTGAAAGTCCACAAGCTTTAGAGACCGAGGGAACACATTCATGCCGCAGCTCTGATTTAATGACTGAGAGCCTATAAGCCAGTGACTTGGCATCTCTGAACTCTGATTTCCTTCTCTATAATTCAGGCCAATGGTGCCTAGCCAGGTTAGGGAACCTGAGAGACCCATTCACACTACAAGTCCCACTAAAGACTCGGAAGTGGCCAGGGAGTAAGACTCGTGGTCAGCCCCTGGCCCAGAAGTGTCACAGAGCTGGGCAAATGGCTGCTTAGAGCCAGTATGGCCAGAGAAAGCCCACTCCTGGTAGAAGTTCAGCCACTGGGGGACTGGATTGTAATCAATTGATCTCCTTACACCCTCTGATCTCAGGTATTCCACCGAAAACTGGCTCTATCACAGGGCTGGGGATGGGAGGACTCCCCCAAAAACATACTTTGGGGAGTTCATAACAGAAGCAGAACATAACATAAGCAGAAGCGAACTGAATTGGTTCTATCCGGGAAGCTTGGAGGAGCAGGATCCGGGGCCTCCAGGTACCCCTCCTCAGCTACTGGGGCCTGAGCCAACATATCTCAAGGCCTCCGGAACCAGGTAATCCCGAGGGAAGCTTCCAGTCCTGCCTTATTTAGTTACCGGGCACCTGTTAATTGCATCAGATACAGCTTGGACTCTCATCCGGACCCCCATTAGGGAGGAAGCAACTACTCCCAAAAATAACTGTGGTAGAAAATAAAGGAAGGTAGAAAGTGTCTAGTGCCACCAAAAGGCAGATGCTCCCATAGTCCTGATACCTCAAGCCCTACACACCCCAACACCCCAGCCACAGGCGGGCCCCTGCCTTTGCCTACCGAGCCTGAGAGCGAGGTCTCCAGCAGGATCCGTATTCGCATTCCAAGAAGACTGCCAGGGAAGCAAAGGCAAGACCAGGGCTCCACCCAGAATCTGCCTCCTGAGACACACCTATCGACCTTCAGGCAAATGAAAGAGGCAGTCACATCTGTTCTGAGCCGATACTGCCAGACAAGCAAAACCACAAAAATAAGAGTCCCTGGGTCGCAAGTCCTTCCTGGGGGAGGAGCAAGCGTGGCTGACACATTGCTCTCCTCGCCTTGCTCCAGGCCCCCGCCCCAGGGAAGACAGCAATCCTCCAGTCTCTGCTCTCCCTCCTCCGCTCCCCAGCCCCAAGCGCCCTGACATAGTCCCCGCTTTGCTGTTTCTTGGATGCTTTTCAAGAGTTTGTGTAATCGCATATGTATGAAAATACCATAATGAAATGCATTACTTTGTATGCTAACATAAAATATAAAATAGTAAAACGTGTGTGTGCTTCTGTCCTGTTGAGCAGTTGTGGTGTGTGTGTGTGTGTGTGTGTGTGTGTGTGCTTCTGTTCTGTTGAGCAGTTGTGGTGTGTGTGTGTGTGTGTGTGTGCTTCTGTCCTGTTGAGCAGTTGTGGTGGGTGTGTGTGTGTGTGTGTGTGTGTGTGTGTGTGCTTCTGTTCTGTTGAGCGGTTTCCTGCCATCTTCAAACGCTGCACGGTGTGTCTTTCTTTGCAGTGGGAACGAGGTGGTTTGAAAAGTCGGACGGGATTACCTCCCATCACCACCTGCAGCAAAGTTAGTGCCGAAGACTTTGCCCAGGCTTGGTTTTGGCTTTGTCCTTCCTCAGCTGTTAAGAGTGTCTGTCTGTCTGTCTCTTGAATTCGGGAGCCCCTCACTTTACCCCTACCTGCACCCCTTTCCCATTTTGTCCGGAGGAAGAGCCATCCCGCCCTGTCCTACCCTCCAGCAGGAAAAGCACCTCCTGCCTTTCAAGACTCTCTGGTTAGTACTGGTGGTCCCGAGATTCTCCGCCCGCCCAGTCCAGCCTGGCCCTGCTTCTCGGCTACAGAGGGAAGGGGACGACCCTGGTCCGCCGCCCAGCAGGCCCCGGTCTGCAGCGACGCCGTACAGGGTGGGACAGAGCCTGGAGTTCAGAACTGGACACAGAGGAAATGATCAAGCGACCAGGACAAAAACAAGGACCATAGTAGGGCTAGGCCGGAGCAGGGGCGCTCCCCGCTCGCTCACACCGCTTCCCCACGCGCGGCTCGTGGCTTCAGTGTCGCGCCCCGCGGGACCCACCTGATCCGCAGAACCAGGCCCGGCGGGTGCGGTCGGCCGCGCTGGGAGCAGGACCGTGCTCGCCTGGCGGCGCCCTGCCTTGCAGGAAACCCCTGCCGCTGCTCGCCGGGATGTGCCCGGGTGTGCCG